GGAGCAGTTCTCATTCCTAGGAAGTGAAAGAGGGTTGTGAAATCTGGAAAAGGGGCTAGAGAGGGTTTTGGTGGGGGCAGAGTCTCTGGAGCCGGAGGAGTTGGGCGTGAGTCGTTGGTGTCTGTCTTGGGCATGAGGGCTGGTAGTTGATTGACTGACTGGTGAATTTGTGTCTCTGATCTTGCAGGAACTTCCGCAGGCAATTTAACAGACATGGTCCTATGAGGAGAAGCATAAAGAGGACCAACGGGTCCTGTGGGGGGGAGCCAAGGCCATACTTGATGAACATTCCCCGTGGAGCCTGTTGGCCTACTTGCTGTCTCCTCTTTCCTAGCCGTTCTTGACCTTCATTACTGCCAGGAACGACTGTTTTGGCTTCACTGTTGGTGGGTGTTTAAGATCAAGCTGGTGAAAACTGACTTTGTTCTATCTATTGTTAAGAGTCAGCCGAGTCCCCACAGGGGTCGCTCTTGGGGGAACCTGAGAGCAGCTTCTCAGTTCCACTAGTGCCATCTGCGCTAGGATGGGTCCAGGTCTTGCCTGACCGTGGCTTCCCTCGGAAGCACCAGGGATGTTTCCCTTCTCTGATGAGTCTCCTCTTCACAGCAAATGCACTGATTGGCTTTCTGTCCTCCACTGGTCTCATTAATCTCCCTGATCGGGAGGTTCTGTGGCCCAGAGTTGCAAAGCTCTTTGGAGAAGTCCCCTGTTCCCTGGATTCAGACTGACTCAGAGGGCAAGAGCCAAATATTGGTTTTCCTGGCCATTTTAATTTAACTTTAAGTATTGACCTTAAACATCCAGCAAAGTCAGATTCACCTTAAATTAAGAGTATTGGGCTTTAGCTGAAGTCTGGCCCACTTTGGAGTCATTCTGACATGTAGTAAGATGGGAGGCAGAGCCCTATCTCAGGTAAGGCAGGGCTCTTTATGAATCTTAGGTAAAGTGTTCTAGTATTGAAGCTGATCTTTGTTTTTAAATATCATTTTATAAAGTTTACATATATAGTTGTTCGAGATCACATGAATACTAGCTAACACAATATATTACATTTAAATTGTACCCAGTGTATAGAACTTTATATTAATCTTATTGATAAAGGTCCAGTTATAGAAAATTAAATGATATAAATCTCCAATATGTTATTTTTATAGGCCTAAAATTACCATGCAACCTTTTGGAGAATATCAGCTTGATATAATGTTTTTTTTTCAAAGCTTCTTGTCTTAATGATTTATATACCTGGAAAATATGAACACATCTAATATACAAAGAAGAGTAATAGTACCACAATTGCTATAGATGTTTTTATATTAATCAAGGTTCGCTCTTAAAGAAATAACATATTACAATACTGCAAAATAACAGTTGTTGTTTAACCATAGTTGTATAATGCTTAATTCCTTCAAGATTACTTGCTCAAAAAAGTTCATATATAACCAACGTACACAGACCTTCTTTATCACTTACTTAAACCCTCTTATTTACTTAATCACATAGACTCTCTTATCCAGAAACACCTTTTCCTTCTATTAAATCCATACTTAGAACCTTCTAATTTCTCTTTCCCGTCTGTTAACTCTTTTTTTACATTTTGAAATAATCCTTGTAAATTTCTGGACTTAGGCAAATTATTCCATTTTAATAAGAGATATTTTATTATTTGCAGTACACAATAATCACATCTGTTGACCATTTCATGAAAACATGAAAATGTTTAAGTGTATAGAATTATACTGTTGTAGGGACGGACAAGGCAAGGCACCTAGGATAGCAGTGAAGACAGGGAAACAGTCCTATTTGGTTGCAGCCAGATTCAGAGGACACAGCTTCTGTCGTAATCAATTAATCCCCTGAACCCCAAGTTTAGGTAGTTTCAGAATTTTACACCCAGCTTGTAAGGAGAGGGTCTCAGAAGTTCACAGTCTGCAGAAGTTCACAAAAAGCAGTTGTTAACCCTTCAAGGACAGCACCTGGGAGGGGAGAGTTCTTCTCCCCTTTCTCCCCACCCCTGCCAGCTGTGACCATGGAGCCCAGTTGGTAACCTCCTTATCTTAGACATGTAGCCATCTCTGTGAAGCCCCGCTCAAGGCCAGAGGTCTTGTTCACATATTTTTGTGAAAAACTAGTAAGGGGGTGTCTAGCTTTTGGGATTGCTGATTTTTCCAGCCAGTGGCCAAGTAAAACATGAAAATAGGAAGTTTATCTACATTAAACTCTTTTGTAGACATTCTTTTGCTGAAAGTCCTTGTTGAGAGCCACAGCCAAGTCGGAATGGCGCCTGGCATTTTACCAGAAGGAGTGGTTGAGAGGTGGCGCCAGGAGCCATTAAGATGATGATAATTAAGTTGAGCTGTGTATAACTGGATGATGCTGGATTGAAACAGGCTGTGTATTCAGTTGTATATGGACCCTGCTGTCCGGCAATAGGGCGGCTCCTTCTGCCTCAGGTGCCCGTTCAGTTCCCGTTGAGTTCTCGTGGAGTGGAGCCTGGTTGATTGCGGAGAGAGTTCCGGGGGAGAGCGCATGGAGTTCGGCAATAAAGTAGTTCCTGTTTGACAAGTTCCTCATGGCGGCTCAATCATCTTGTGCCCAGCCAGACTGCGGCAAGTCCTAAAATCAGGCACGGTGAACACTGCTGGAGAAGGTCGGTGAAGACTTTTCTGTGGCCTGGGTAGGGAGGGGAAGACGGGAAGGCGGGCTGAGAGCAGCTCTGGATCTGAGAATGAGGAAGGAGATGGGAAACAATAATGGGAAAGGGGTTTGGGGTTTTCCTAGCAAGGAAACTTGAGCAGAAGATCAGGTAGAGCAGAGGGGAAGACGGGAGTGAGTATCCCCAAAAGCCTGTGAGGGACTTTAATTCTTAGTGACCTGTTTTCAGTGATGACAAAGCCACTTTAAGGCCATTTTCACCAGATCTTGGGTAGGGGTCCGAGGGCTCTCCTCAGCTCGTAAAAAGACCTGGTGGGACCAGGTGTGGGCACTGGCAGGAGAAGAGAGAGTGAGTGGTGCAGGGGTAGCTCAGAACCTGCCACCTCAGCAAGGGGCAACGTCCGAGGAAGGGCGGTGGCGCAGGTTTTTGATCTAGTAACTGGAGGGAGAAAGCAGGTTACTGAGGTGGGAGTGACGGCGGAGAGCCTGGGGCAGAAGGCCGAGGCCGAGGACCTATTCCAGCCAGGCGATAGGGTGGAGGTTCATTAGCAGGGTCAAAAGTGGGGGATGAGTCCGGAGGAGGAGAAAGTTGGGGATCGTGGTTGGGGGAGTTGGTTTGTAGGCTGGAAGAATTTGTAGAGGATTGCAAGAGGTGCAGAGAGCAGGATTGGAACGGAGCAAGAAGAAAGCCTGGACATAGCAGCTCTCTACCCATTTTTTCGAATGCTCACAGTAATTGTAGAGATCCCTTAGAATGGAGGGATCCAGGGACCCAAAAGGGGGCCATCTGCTTTGGTTGTCTAAGGGATAAGTGGGCCAGGCCTGGGTGCTATATTTGATCAATTTGGGGGGTTTGATGTCTGGTGTCAAGGAGAGGGTTTTGAGGTTATCCAAGAGGCATTGTAGGGGAGAGTCGACTGGCAGAGAGGACACATTACCCATGTTGCAAACATAGTATGAGGAGGAGGGAAGGGGACGCAAACGTAGTGTAGGAGAGAAGGAAGGAGACGCAAAGATAGTGCAGGAGAGAAGGAGGAAACTGATTTATTGGCAAAAGGGGCGTCCCCGCTAGAGCCAAAAATCAGGGGTGCCTTAGCTGCAGGTTCGAGCTGCAGAGATTGGTCGTCACCGAATCCTGACAGTCAAAGCTCTCGTCCTGGACGGAGCCAGAGCCGTGGGAGACCTTGGCCAAGGCTTTTCGGGACCCCTCCTGGAGAGGTCAGATACTCCCAGGGCTAGAAAGAGGGGAGAGAGAGACAGGGGAAGAGAGAGGAAGGGGAGGGTAAGTGTCTCTCTAGCAGCCTTGAAGGTGAGGACTAGGACTTTAGGAGAGCCACCGAGACCGTGAAGGTCTGGGAGGGTGTGAGGTTTGGTTCTCTGTTTTGTGTTCCCAGAGGTTACACAGTCCTTTGAGGGAGACCGGCAAAGCCTACGCTGGTGAACTACCAGCTGGGAAGGGAAGGGAACAGGTTTGAACCCAGGAGTCTATTCTGCCCTAGTCCCCGAGGGCCACCGTGGCCTTGAAGGCTGTGGTGGGGTGCTTTCCTCCCCGCAGGTGGGCAGAGAGGTTTGCTGGACAATCAAGGGTCAAATCCTCCTGACACCACCATTGGGTTCAGGAGTCCAGGAAGGGCAAATGCACCATTCGAAGGCCGGTGGTGGATGGAGTTCTGGCGATCAAAAAAATGGGTTCAGGGGCTGGGGATGTGGCTCAAGCGGTAGCGCTCGCCTGGCATGCGTGCGGCCCGGGTTCGATCCTCAGCACCACATACAAACAAAGATGTTGTGTCCGCCGA